AAAATTGAATCTGCCGATAGTAAGAAAGTTAATGCTGGCAACGGATTAAACGATTCGCCGAATTAGCCCTACTGAAAATAAAGTTCATCCACAGGTCTGATGAAGTTTAGGAAATTAGCTATCTAACTACAGCTCGCTTCATGTGCTGAAAGAATTACTGGCCTGAAGGTTATCCCGGAAACGTTCATGTATAACTTACTGATGCCTACATGCAGTTTAAAACTTCGATAAATCATATAGTGTGTGAACAGCTGTTAAGTGAACAAATACCACATTTACTCAACCGTAACCGATTATTATGGATTGTAGCTATACTTCTATACCTACCGCAGAGTGTGATAGCAGGCCTGAAACGCAGCAGCTCATAAATAAAGAATACGTCTCTGCTCTACCCAGTGTGAAAACGCCATCGGCAACGCTGGGCTCTCATGTTCCATGCTGGACTTCCTTGTCGTGTTGCCTGTGAGCTATCTTGTTCCTTGTCGTCCTGAAGAAGGAACCGCAGTCAAATTCTTCCACGGCTTCCCGACTTTCTGGGGCAGCATAGCCGGACCCCACCAATTTTGAACACCAATAACCGCTGAATGGACGCTAATTAGCATCTTTCCGCAAGACACCAATGAGCCGCGAATAACGTCTGCAGTGAGTGACCAGGCTAAGACATCATTTTGTTTTACACATAACGACTTTCTATAACCTAGGATTAGACGCCGAAAAGGCAGTGATCGACGGGAGCGATGATTAAAGACCTGTATTTTGTTGAAGCTGTTACCAGACTTTAATTCTATTTGAATTTGAGCACAACACGTAAATACGTAACAAAATCTGAAGTCAGAAAGAAAAACGTCTTTTTCTTCAAGGTCGGCTTGAAGCTGGTCAGAAATATCGAAATATTATAAGAAAATAATGAATTCTCCCAGCTATTATATGATCAAAATGTGCCCATTTATTATTATTATATTATAAATTATTGTTAAAAAATTCTGCTCCAACGGGCATTAATATGTAAGCTTGACGTTTCTAAGGCTCCTATGCCTCATTTTGCGCTAGCGGCAGTGATTTGATACATTTTTGCGCACGAATTAAAATGTTTCACATATTATCATGAATTTTTAACTTACTCGGCATGCGGAAAAACTCTACCTCATTTCCTAGTAATATTTCAAATTTACTTCCTTATTGAACGAGTGTCAAAAATTGCTTAAATTTGTTGATAAATTTCAATCATTATTCCCTTGTTTTCAACGTTCTACATGCCTAAAATGATTTTCTAGAACTGCAGAAGCAAAATTTTGGTACTCCTTCCACTTCAGAGCACTTGGACAAAAATTAGTGACTATCCAAACTATGTAAATTAACTGAAAATCTTTTTTAATTTGAAAATTGTATTGCCTAGATATTCATTGCTGCCCAGAACGTCTTTTTCTCATTTGTTCATCGTTGTGGTGACGACTATATATGGCAGTGGCCACTGTGGCAGCAGCGGTGCCGAAAGAGGATACAATGGTCAATGGGCGCCGTAAATTGGAGGGGTGTTGGATTTCCTCGACTACATATCAATGAATGTAGTTAAATATCTGAAATAATTCTTAAAATCCTCGCTAAATTGGCTAAATGATTCAATTAGAACGTTCGCAGCCTGTAATTAATTGGACATTAAAACCAGGTATCGTAAGTACTTTCTTCGCGATGTATCATTTAATCACGTTTTTCTATAAATTGTTATTTGAAATTGTGTGAAGTGAAAATTTAAATTTTGATTGATCGGTCGCTTATTATGTGTCCTACTCGTAATACCTGAGCCATCAAACCGTGTCTTTAAAATTACTATGTATGATCACGTATTTTTGATTAAATAGTGTGGGTATCATACATGAGAAAACGTTGTTGAAAATTTAAATTATTGAATGTATCAGCCAAGTTCTGTCACCAGCGGAACAGCAATGATGTCTTTTTTAATTCAGTATGCATTCTTGGTACTTTGCCTGGTGTCTGTCCTGCGCATCTGGGCATTCCTTTGGATAATTTTTATAAGCATTAAGAGTCATGCATGTGGAGCGGTCGCTGAACGCAGCATCGAGACCAAACGGCCTCACGTGGTAAAATTTCTCGGCCGGGCTGCCTTCTAACGTCGGCATCCTACGTCTGGCTGCCCCCCTTCCCATCCTCCACTCCAAACACACGTCACGCACACTGACCCCACTTGTTCTTGAGTTGAGCTTTATCTTTATTTTATTTGCATTAAGGTGCGAACATAAATAAAAATTAACATTTTTAATCAGCTAAAAAGAAAAACCTGAAACTTGGAAACCCGAAAACACAATGCTTCAAGTACATCATTTTACATCTGCGTTAACCGTTTCCATCTAGTTTCAATCTTTTTAAGCGTTCAGTATGAATAATTTCTAGATGAAGTGTTCCTCTGGCGTAGAATAAATTCCCTACACAGTTGTACTGATAGCGATTACGGTCTGACGAAACTCAAAGAACGTGGCTAACAATAAAGACGAGACTGAAGACATAACATCAACCAAACAAATGACTCCCCGACCTTCTTTCTGTGTCTCGAGCAACTCATTCACCACCAACATCATTATCATCACCGTCATTACACTCATCATCGTCCCAGTAAAAATGTTAAAACGGAAGCAGATTAAAAACTCGAAACGAAAGAATATGGAGAGTTTATATCGAAATGATAAATTGCGAAAAATGAATTTTTCTTGATTTAGCCCGAATGTGAAAAATAAGACAATGATATTTTTTAAGTTGGTAATCAAGAGTACGAGACTGAAGGGCAAGTCTCGTACTCTTAATTGCAGGAGCAACAATTACACGTGTTGCCCCTGCGCCTGCGAAATACACGTGTTGCTCCTGCGCCTGCGAAATACACGTGTTGCTCCTGCGCCTGCGAACTACACGTGTTGCTCCTGCGCCTGCGAAATACACGTGTTGCTCCTGCGCCTGCGAAATACACGTATTGCTCCTGAAGGCATTGTACTGTAACTCGTTGGACTGCTTTTTGGTCGAGCCTGCTGAGGTCAGTGAGCTCTATGCGGAAGAATGCAGGAGACTCGGCTACCTCTGTGCATGGATGCGCAATGAAATCAAGAAAAAATTATGGTATAAATTTATTCGATTATGAAAAATAAGTCAAATCAACGATTGACGAGCTATTCCGACATAGCATTCCATGTTAATCATATTTGTTATATATTATTTCACTTATTCGCCATTTTTTTTGTGCTTCTGATGGCCCTAATTCATTATTTTGAACGAAATTATTTTTGTTATTATGCAATTGACAACTCCTGGTGTCACCTTAAAACCCACTAAAGTCCTGAATAGTCCGCCCTATTCCCGTTCAACTCAACCCAACGTTGTACACCAAGAACCAACCTTTTATTTTTTCCTCATTCTCCTATTGTCACCGCACCATCACAACCATCAACACCACCACCACCCTCAAAATCTTACTTATTCTGATTTTAAAATCAATTAACTGACTTAGTGAGAATTCAATTTCTGCATGATCCAATGTTTCGTTCAATTTAATGAATTAGGGCCAACAGAAGCACCGGAAAAAATGGCGAATAAGTGAAATAATATGTAACAAACATGTTTAAAATGGAATGATATGTCGGAATAGCTTCGTGAATCGTGGATTGAATTTATTTTACATATTCCAAAAAAATTATACCACGACTTTTTTCTTGATTTCATTGCGCATTCTTGCACAGAGGTAGCCGAGTCTCCAGCATTATTTTTTACAGAGCTCGATGGCCTCAATCGGCAAGCTTGGCCAAAAGCAGCCCAGCGAGTTACAGTACAATGCCTTCAGGAGCAACACGTGTATTTCGCAGGCGCAGGAGCAACACTTGTAATTTCTTAGCTCTTAATTACAACTTTAAAAATATCATTGCATTATTTTTCACGTTCGGGGTAAATCAAGAAAAATTCATTTTTCGAAATTTATCATACCACAATCATTCCCAAATTGAAGTAATTTTGCTTACGAGAAAAGTGCGGATGAAAATGCGGTTAATGAATTTCACTTGCTCAGACCAGACTGGCTATCTTAATTATTCTTTAGCGCGTAACTATGCAGATAACTCAACTTACAAGAGATAATTTATAGTTGAAAACGCTAAGCAAAACAAATTATATATTCACTCTCCTCGTATCCTGGGAGTAATAGAATAGAAAATTTAATCGGGACATATGGTTTCGATGCTTGGGAATAGAATAGTTCCAGCAATGAATCATGCAGTTTATTTCCATCGGTTCTCTTCAGTATATTATCAAGACTAATCAACTCGAACTTATAATGAATTTATACTAGGATGAAGAATACAACTAAGTCACTGAAACATTTTCGCCCTGAAGCACATATGAACAATAATATTGGACTGAAATCGAGTGCGTTCGCATCTTTCTCACAAAGAAAGCGATAATATTTCACTGGTTGGCAGAAGAATGTTTCTTGATAGAATGGATGAATCATGATTGATAATCGACGTTTAATTCGACTTTTACACAAGAATGAGCATTTTTGCCATCATTTACTGACTTAACTAGTTGAGTGATTCTTTAATTATAAAACTGACGTTGTTTCTTCTGGTTCGAGGACGTGTCAGTTTTAGTTTGTTTATTGGGAAAAATGTTGCCATGTTCTAGTAAAAAATGAGGGGCGGTAACTGTGAAAACTTATTTTCTGAACAAAGCTTAGGTTTTGCAGTAGCAACCGATCTGTTTATAGCGTCAGTTCAAAATGAAGATGACTCGACCAATAGGTTTTTCTGCGTCTGCTCAACTCTACATTTGGTAATATCTTCTGCCGATTTGCTTAATACGAATAAAAACAGGAACCGTTCGATTAAACTTAACTGAAACAAGGAAATATTACACCGAAAAAATGAGGAAAGGCTGTAGTTTAAATACGTGTTCGCGCATAACCGATTTATATTTAAAGAATCGTCCTAGTTGCCTGAGAACTCTTACCTCTACCTGATCACAAGCATGGTGAGTCTGTGCGCCTCGGCTCTGATATCTTCTTAACGACAGTATCGTAACTACTATTGAAATTTATTACATTTAATGAGCAAAATTTTAACCTTAATCATTAATTCGGCTATTCTAAATTGAGGGTGTAAAGCAATCTTCACTTGAACATATGCAAAATAATACTTTAAGAACCATATTCAAATTTTATCAATGTCGCACGAACTCCAAACAACAAAAAACAGTTTTCAAATAACTATTCAAATTTACTATTTCAGATTTCATTATGAGCGTAATCTACTTGCCGTTGTTATCATTTTTGCTTTTATCTTGTCGGTGCCAATTCTTGATCCATGCGAAATGTTACAATTCTTTTGAGTACGTTTTTCTTGTTTAGAACACTACAAATGTTTAAATGTCTTCAGCGTTTTTTGGGGGATGTGCATAGTTCATCAATGCTTCAAATCGCAGAGCTTTATATTTCCATTAGGAAAAAGCGGTACTATGATCATCTTGGTCACCGTTTTAGTTTACACGTTCGAAATATTCATAATGATTCATGCGATTGTGGTTAAGAAGGCTGCATATTTCATACCTGCATTACTCTTTCAGCTTATGCGTTTTATCACTGCTCAAGCTTCAGGTTACGATTTTCACAAGAACCTAATAAATTTGTGCACCAGATTTAAAGAAAACAATTAATTTCTAATTAATGATTATTATTTTCACAATATTCAATTAATAATTTTTTTCGCATGTCGCAAGTTGTGGTATATTCTATCTTAACAATTAATATTGCTTGAAATAACTAATTTCAGAAATTTCTATAATCAGGATGAATCATTTTCAGAATAACTAAGCAATTTCAATCTGATATCTCTGGTTTATAACGGCTTCATACCAATGATTGTCCAAATGATTAATTATTGCTCGTTACTCATTTAAGCATCCAGAATGGCATTAGTTCTAACGTTGGGAGTGAAAATGAGTTGAAGTACCTAATTAAGGAATTTACACGAATGTAATCGCTGATAAACTTTATTTGAGAATCCACAGGATAAATCTTCGAAGGTTTCGAAGGCAAAAGAATTCAGAACTGAAGAAGCAGTGGCGCAACTGCAACCAGAGAAAAAAACAGTCTGATTAACTGACAAACTTAGTTCAAGTATGCTTTATATGATCATATTCTGTATTCCAATTTATCGGCATATGATTTGACAGTGAACTTAATTCCCAGTATTAACCTTTGCGACACTATATACGGCAGCAGCAAATAGACGAGGCGTTCCTCAAGACATATAGCTCACGCAGAATGGGTGACGGGTGACGTGCGTCATTATACTGTAACAAAGACTTCTTGAATCACAGTAAAATACAATGGGCTTCTTAATTGAACAATATGATGTCAAATATAGTCGTATAGTTAATTGCGATCAAATATTGATTCCCCAACCTTCTAAATTATTGCCGATGGCTCCATTTAGAAGTGGCGTTGATGCCATTCAGAGGTTTGATTTAGATACAATAAGCAATGGTTAGTAATAGGTTGGCCCAACTCAGCTAATTTGGTAAATAAGTTAATAAGGTTAAGGTTCTAGGCCGGAAATAAGGCCAAAGTAATTAATGCGTCATAGACGACTTTGCATGTTGGGTCCAACCAAAGAAGTGAATTTGCATGCATTAACAGGACTAGGGGCCCATTCCATTCATTAAATCAAGTTAATATAGAGAGAAAATGCACATATTATGCTGTACATTATACAGCAATCTAGAATGCACGATTTGTCACCTTCAAAAAGCTCCTACTGTTAATTCCTTATCCTAGACGTTAACAACTATTGAAACTTAATCTTCATAGTCTTCCTTAAATTAAAATGGAACAGAATTTCTTATAGTACATTCACAGATACTTGGGGCGTCCTCTTTCATTTTGATCATCTCCATGGCGACGATGATCGAAGCAAGGGTGCCAACGACGGTAACGATAAGAGATGTGGATACGACGACCGATGCATCGGCAACAACGGTGCCAACGACGGTAACGATAAGAGATGTGGATACGACGACCGATGCATCGGCAACAACGTTGACGAGAACTGAGGCAGCAACGGCGCTGTTGCCGGCAGCAACTACAACGGAGGCGGCGACAATGCTCGATGAGTCGGCGCAAAATGGTGAGAGCGAGCGTCAAACGGTGTGAAATTTATTGCAAATGATCTATCACAAAACTAAATGTAACAAAATATTACTGAAAAATATGCAAAATAAACTTGGCAATCTCTTAGACCAAATAATTTATGACCATTGAAATATTGTCCGAGCAGAACGGTTTACTCAAGTAATATTGGCCTACATTTTGCAGAAGCTCGACTGTTCGGCTTAGTGGCAAGAACAACTACAGTGTTAACAGCTGTATCCTCTACCACCTCCACCAAGACCTGCATTGTCCGTGAGTACCCTAGCTTAACAACGCTCTCCACCGTCACCTCCACCAAGACCTACATTGTCTGTGAGTACCCTTGACAACGCTCTCCACCGTCACCTCCACCAAGACCTACATTGTCTGTGAGTACCCTTGACAACGCTCTCCACCGTCACCTCCACCAAGACCTGCATTGTCCGTGAGTACCCTAGCTTAAGGCTTGTAGTCAAAATGCAGCGAAGTCTGAGAGCGAGGTTTTCGCGACCATCGTGTAAAATCCTTGATCTGCCCGAAGCTCGGCCAGTCGCTACCCTCGAGCTTGTACTCATTGTAATATGATATCATAGCCAGACCCTTCTTCGCGGCAACTGGTCGCTTTCAGGTGGCCGAGGAATGGCCAACGGTCGGCTATAACTAATTGGATAGGCCGACCACTGGCCACGTATTATTCTTCGCCCCCTCATTGACTTCGCATTTACCATGCCACCCGTCGTGAACTGACAGTTGAGTAATTTACGACGTCTCTTTCCCCTCAAACATTACACAACGTCTCCATTTGAGCAGCTAGTATGCGGGATTTTCCCTCCGCGTAGCAGCAAACTCGATCATAACTATTTTTCGGTAGAAAATATCTACAACAAGGAGGCTGATCAAGGAATGCCGAGTATACCATTCAATGGAGAATAAAAATTACAACCCGTTTACAACTCGAAAAAAGTTAAAAAGTCGCAGACATGATGAACAATAATATTCAAAGTTTCTTGAAATTTCCTCTCAATAGAACTCTTTTAATACAAAGTTTACATATTTTTTGTTACTGGTCGACGCATATAAATAAATAGCTGGGTAAGTATGGAAAAATCCATATCGCCATCTCATTTGCGAGTGGAGTAAAGTCTATCCTAACTAGTGAAGAAACGCATAGGGAAGAGCCGAGCCTGTTCGAAGCCTCTCGGTTCTCAATCAGGGCCTTAACAACGCTCTCCACTGTCACCTCCACCAAGACCCGCATTGTCTGTGAGTATCTTCACAGATAATTAAGGTACGCACCGACCTGCTTTGTCAGTACGTACCTTCACACTCTCTAGCTCCACCGGCACCTCACCAAAAACATAAATTTTAGGTGGTTTTCGCCATTTACTCTCTATACCATACCATAAAATCCATCTTTTTTGTTATATATGAATAGATCATTTATTAAAAACTATAATGTCTTATGGCTCATTAGTTTCCCAAAATACAGTTAATGCTCAGCGCATAACACAATTTCTGTTTCAATTATTCCTCGGATTGTACCATTGAATCGAGACTCATGCAGTATTACATCATCAACATTGTATTGCGGTAAGAGATTTGTATCAGAAAATAATTGCTACACAAATATACCAAAACATCACAGACGAGTGAGTGAGAACGTAGGACAAGGGAAGATATATTTCAATATTTAGACTTGTAATATGAATATTTCTGTTGCATCTGAATATTTAATATGAATATTCATATTGGAGACCGGGTTTGTTGCGGAATTTGAGTGCGGTATATGGACCAAAAGCTTCTTGTCATGTCTGGGGAATCAACGAGAGGTTCTTATAGTAAAGAATCACTAGCAACATAGATTTTAAGCTTTAAGTAATGTATAGCTTTTAAAATATCCGCAAAATTAAAGCACAATGACAACCTACGGTCAATATGTTATAAAGGAAGTCTGTTATTGGAGGATTTTATTTCAAATTTAGACTGTTGATCCACACAAAACCTAAAAACTGTCAACGACATTTTGATAATGCTAATATTCATTATAATGAGATAAGTTAAAGATGAATAAGATATTAATATAATAATAAAATAAAGAATAATGAGTTAAAGCCTAACAGTTCATTACGATAATAATTGAATTTTTAATTACTACTTTTCTGTAGTTCGAACGCCCGCTTTGTGTCGCAAACGCCGTTACCTGGAAGTTCAACCAACTCTGTCGACTGAGGAGAATTTGACCGGAGACGTCGAGCTCTCCGGCTCCATGCTGGACTCGAGTCGTCCTGACGAAGAAATCGCTGACAAATCCCCCCGCGGGTTTCTGACTTTCTGGAGAGCAACCACATCAACGGTTGTGCTGACATCCAACATAACCAGCTTCCATGCCCCGAATAATTTCGAAGGCCTTTTGCGTAATTTAATGTGCACAGCCACCCTCTGCGTAAACAATTAAGTGAATTACGAAAAATACATATCTATTGCACTCTAGCATGTTATTTGAGCCCACATCATTAAAATATTCTTTGATTGCTTACTAATATTGCTATAAGAGAGAATGGACTTCATGTGAAGTTTACTCTTTACCTACCATAACCATAAAAGAAAATATATTCATAAAAATAATTTCGGTAAGATCCTATTACAATAGCAGAAAATAGTAACACTAAATCAAAGAAGTCATCTAAACACAAATTATTTAAATTAATTGTGGATAATTAATTTTAGGAGATGAACTTGACCAAAAATCCTCGTTGCGTAATAAGGCAATTTCCAAGCTTCGTCTGTAACATCCAGATGGGTATTTTCGGTCAGCGTATACGTATAGCGTCATATCGGCAAGGGATTCAATTAAAGTATTTTAAGGATAAAATAACTTGAACATCACGCCGACAAAGAAAATTCTAAAAATTGATGTAATTTAACTACTGCTCGTAAAATAGTTTAACAATTAAATGAAACTCGCTTCAAACCCGTGGCGAATTCGAAAGTTGAACAATTCGAAGCCTATTGCATTGTAGAAAATTAAAATTTGTCAATGAATAAGCTGAACTTAACATCTTCTACGATTATAGTGAGTTATTGTTATCTACTTATCTACTCTATAACTTACTTACTTTATCGTATTTAACGTTTTTTTTTCAGGAAAATAATACATAAAACTGAGAGCAAGGCTTAGTTAATACACACTGAGTGACTTTCTGACGCTCTTAACCCTCTATCGCCTGAAATGAGTACAACCGGAGCAATATTGTCACAAGCCTACTTCTCAAAAAGGATGCGTTCTAGTGAGCGCAAAATGACTTGCACTGATGGTTGCCGCCACGTACGACAGCTTAAAACTCTTCTCTGTTGCATGCAAACGTCTTCAAGTTGCTACCCTCAATAGTTTACGTATAATTTAAGTTGAAAGTTATGTAAAATGTAGAGAAGGGCAAAGGCGCCAATTTTTACAAATTTCGAATTTTTCGTACCACTTTTCTAAGAAATAATATCTCCCCAACGAAAAATCAAGGTAATCGAATACGCTTAAATCCTCCTGGAAACCCTGCTCGCGAGCTATCAGCACCTCGTCCACAAGGTCCAGCAACTGAGTCTCACAGGAGTGACAGCTTAGAAAACCATATTACACCGTACAGAGATACAGTATGTACGGTGTAACATTACACCGTACGGTGAACCATATTACACCGTAAAGAGAGAATTCACCGTACAGAATTTCTTGGTCCGTGCACCTTACACTACACCAAGATCTCACTGACGAGCTTACGCTCCAAGAGGTTACATGGATACAGATCAGCGAGACAGGTCTGTAGTTCTCAGCACAGTAACATGCATCTTCTTTCTTGTACTCAGAGCGCACATGTGAATCGTTTCCGACAATAGTCAGAATTCCAGCGGCAGAAAGGTCTGGTACCAGAGGGCGATGGAGCTAGTTCTGCCGTCAATCCTCTGAACTTGAACGCATTTTATCCTATCCGAGCCGCAGGCTTTGGAGGGGTAGAAATTAGGTAGCAGCCAATAACACCAGTGCTCGAAATGTGTGCCTTGTCCATGTAGTAGACGTTTGTAGGGAGTCACACGATGGCCCTCCTGACTCCTCAGAGATATTCTCATGCCTGGTGAACACTGAATGAAACTGACGGTCTAGAATTTCGGCTACGTTTTCGTCGGTTGTGACAGCCTTGAATGTCTTGAAGATAGCATCATGTTTGAACATGTAAGAGTAGGCACTTATCTAGTAAGATCGGGTGGCAAGATGTCAGCATTTCTCTTGCTGCAGGTACCGTAACAGCTAAGTAAAGATACAAACCTCCCTGTCTAATGAAGTAAGGTCCTAACTTGGGCGTGCATTGCATTTAATTAATACCTATATTAACAATACTCATGAAGTGCAACTAATGTGCTATCTAATTTCTGCAGGGAAATTGGATAGCACAGCAAGTCATTCGTGCACCCGACATCTTGCAGTTAGTGCGGTGGAACTATAGTTAGGCTGGCCTCCAGATTTCCTGCTATTGCTTTGCGGGCAAGCAAAACTACTGAGGGAATATTAGGCTGAAGCGCAATGGATTTCATCAGTTTTGATCAGTGAACCTGTGTCGTACATCGTGACTTGAAATGCAAGTGAACAAGGTTATGTTGGGTTGAAATTCTCGAGAACTGATAGACATTATTTGCAAACTTAAGTGCAGCATATATACCGCTCATAAAAAAATGTTCGCGTGAAAAAGAAACTTCTGTACCCTCAAACTGTTCAATATGGAAACTCAATTCTAATAAATAATAATAGATTCAGAAACAAGAAGGGCCTATCAGATTTGAATTACTTTTATCAACCATAAATTATTTATTATTGTTCGTTATATTTATTTCGCTTGCAGCACAATAACAAGACTTTTCAAAATCCTCCTTCGGGGCATTTGATTGTTATGCAGAAGCTATAGAGTTATAAGAACTCACGAACACGAATTGTTTCCGTTTTGTATGAAATACATTAACGGGTTGTATTTTTAGAACGAAAGCTTCAAATGTTACGTCTATCCAGACAAAGGCGAAAGTCAAATTCTCCATCGTAAGCAAGTGGAGTATCAGTGTATTAGTATATTGAACTTAATAGCAGTGCAAGGTATGCAAAGAGTTAGCAAGATGATCGTTTGCCGCACATAGGACCAATAAATTTGTACCGGTGAACTAAGAACTGATGTAAGGCTAGTTGTAGTAGATGAGCGTTAGATCTTAATGACAGTTGAGAGATAATTTTTTGGCTCACGTCCCACTAAGCATTAGGTATAATTATAGACCATTCGTTGCAACCTGGAAACAATATGACGATAGTTAGTGGAAGTAAAATTTAATCTGCCAATAGTAAGAAAGTTTATGCTGGGAATGGATTCTACGTTTCACCGAATTAGCCCTACTGAAAATAAAGTTCAGCGACATGTCTGATGAAGCTACCTAACTACAGCTCGCTTCAAGTGCTGAAAGAATTACTGGCCTGAAGGTTATCCTCGCCAACGTTCATGCATAGCTTACCTATGCATAACAATGGTTTAACAGTTCGAGAAACTATAGTATGTAGGAATACACACATTGAGAGAACAGATGAACAGGAATCATACAAAGTGAACAGATTCCACATTAAGTCAACCGTAACCGAATATCATGGATTGTTGCTTTACTTCTATACCTACCGTAGCATGTGGTAGCAGGCCTGAGACGCAGTAGCTCAAGAAGAAAGAATACGTCTCTTCCTTACCCAGTGTGAAAAACGTAATCGGAGATGTTACGTGTTTACGTATTGATCAAATTAGAGAACTACTATGCTGTCAATAGTAGGCCATGTAAGGCCAGCAAGCCTTTATACAGGGTCCTTCAAAAAAGTCCCTGATTTCAATAGGCTTTTGCAAAAATCATACGACACATACAAAACAATTAATTTTATTAGTGAATAGCTTATTTGATGCCATTTTTTCATATCACTCAGCACACTTAACTTGGTTTTGAAAATTATGTTCGATAAATGATGTCCCCTATTGTTAAGACATTCACGAAGTCTTTTCCTGAAGTTGCCCATAGTTCTTCGTGTAACTTCCCTTGTAATGGCTGCCACTTCCTGCCTAATGGCATGCTTTAGTTCTTGCAGATTTCTGGGACGATGTTTGTACACTTCAGCCTTTAGGTGTACCCACAGAAAGAAATCGCAAGGTGATAAGTCGGGTGACCGTGGGGGCCAGGAAATGTCTCCTCTTAAAGAAGCAAGACATCCAACGAACAACTCTCTTAACATTTCCATGGACCGGCGAGCAGTGTGAGCAGTGTGAGTCATTCTGTGGGTCTACCTAAAGGCTGAAGTGTACAAACATCTTCCCAGAAATCTGCAAGAACTAAAACATGCCATTAGGCACGAAGTGGCAGCCATTACAAGGGAAGTTACACGAAGAACTATGGGCGACTTCAGGGAAAGGCTTCGTGAATGTCTTAACAATGGGGGACATCATTTATCGAACATAATTTTTCAAAACCAATTAAAGTGTACTATATGATGTAAAATGGCATCAAATAAGCTATTTACAAATAAAATTAATTGTTTTGTATGTGTCGTATGATTTTTGCAAAAGCCTACTGAAATCAGGGACTTTTTTTGAAGGACCATGTACTTCAGTTGTATACCAGATTCCACCAAATACAGTTCCCCAAACCTATAGCCTCGTCTCTGCTCATCTTCCTCTTTAGCTTGCCTGGACATTGAAGTCATACGACTAGCAAACGTAACATGGTGGCAGCGGACAGTATCAATTGATTGTGAAGATGGAAGAGAACAACTCGCAACCCACATAGCTACACGAAAATGGCGGCATTGAAAATGCCCGACCGCATGACGTTAGGGAACAACGCAGTGAAGAATTGGAAGATCTTCAAACAACGCTGGGAGACCTACACCGTGATTACGGACTTCAGCTCAATTTCCACAGTAAAGCAGAAAGCATTTTTCATTCATTGCCTTGATGATGACGCCCTGGATGCGTACAACACATTCCAACTGGCCGAAGACGCGACAGTTAACCAGGTTATTCGAGCGTTCGACAGCTTCATCATCGGAGAAGCTAACGAAACCTACGAGCGTTTTATGTTCAACAGAAGAAACCAAGAAGAAGGAGAATGCTTCGAACTTTTTTACGCCAACTTCAGAGATTAATTAAGACGTGCAACTACTGCGACAACTGCAAAACGTCACTGCTGAAAGATAGAATTGTTTTAGGCATACATGATGCAAACATTTAAAAGGAACTCTTGCAGACGCGCAATTTAACGCTAGAGAAAACGGCGGATATCTGTAAAGCAAATGAAAAAGAGGTGACTCATAATAAAACACTACGCCCAGAAGTTAACAAGGTGATCGACTCCAAGAAAGAAGCTTCATCGAATATTAGGAATAAACGACAGTGTAAATTTTGTGGAAGGCACCACCAATTTGACAAAAACAAATGCCCAGCATATGGAAAAACCTGCAAGAAATGTTTGAAGAAGAATCATTTTGCTTCAATGTGCTTATCGAAACCGCAATTTTGGAATTCGCAAAACAAAAACAAAGTCAACTACTTAGAAGGAAGCACTGACTCTGAGTCGGAAGAATGGATCAACAACCTCGTCGCACAAAACTGCAACAGCGATAAGATGGTAAAATGCGCTATGGAGATCGAAAATAGGACGGTGAAGTTCCAAATAGATACTGGCTCCAGCGTCAACATTCTTCCCAGGAACTACGTGAAACACAAAACGATAAATGGAACAAATATTGTGCTCAAAACGTGGAA